CTGTGCAGAAACATTTCTTCCATCATGCTTCCACTGCCCTTCAGAAAACTGTCTCTTTGGGAACCAGGGAGCTGGTAAGAGCGCAGCTGCAGGCAACGTGTTAACTATAGCTCACAGATCCTGAAAGACTGATGGGCTTGATTTCTTCTCTGCAGATTTCTTTTCTGAATAGGGGGCTGTAGCGTCTGCCTCTCACCCCCCACATCCTGCCTGTGTTTCTGGAAACAGCGAATGCCCAAGGAGACTATCTTAGAGGGGCTACTGCAGTGCAGTGGGGTAAGAGGTCTCCATGAAGGGTGAGGCAGGGCAATAATACAGCACTGACTGTCATGGAAAGGTTCCTACTGAATGCACAACTGAATGCAAGCCCTGCAGAGGCTTGGGCAGAGGCAGGAAAAGACCCCTGCCGTTCAGTAGGTGCCGAGTGCTTGGCTTCTACAGGTGATGGGGGGGGGAGCATGCCCAGGGAAGCCGCAGCAGCAAATATATCAAGTTACGGATAGCTCTCCTTTTCTAGAGGTGAATTGCTAACAAACAGCCTTACTTCATTCACAATCCTCATTTCTGAGAAGGATGAACTAGACTATACATAAGAAAACTTACTGAAATTATCTACTATTCTGCTATGCTTGCATCTGGCACAAAGTGCTAAGGAAAAACAGTGTTTGTTCCTAGGGCTTTTGTGTACACACTAAGGCAAGAGTTGAATTGTTTTCACCCTATCAGTGACTGACCTAAGAGCAGTGAATCTTTGGGACATTAAATTACTTACACTGTAGACTGATTTAAAAATGTGCAAATGGAAAGCCAAGTTCACTTGAAACAGAACTGATCCTTATGATGTGCCAACCTATGAATGCCAGAGCATGCTGGGAAACTAACTAAATACACACACATAAAATTTACCTTTTGTCCTTTAAAAGGTGTTTTTTATTGTCCACCTGAAAGTGCCAGACTTTAAAACTTGTCATTAATTCACATTTGCAATGACACTACTTACTGGCTCATTACGAGTACAGGCCCTAAGGTCTAATAGCCCTTTTGCTTACAAAAAAATAACAGAAGATAAAGTCATGCTGTGCTAAACAAAAAGGACACCAGCACCATTCAGAGTGTGCGGTTTGACAGAATGCTACATCTAGCATTAAGACTCCTGGAATCAGATTTTTAAAAGAATTATGATACAGTCACTGATCCAGCATAAACTTATTCAGTTCAAATTGGTTTGGAACTCTGGACAAGTGAAGTTACTTTTGGCAAGCTTTTATAGGAATACAGCCTTGGACGCTAACCACCGAACAACAAAAATACACAGACTTGTCAGTTGTATATGTTATCCTATAGCTGCCATAGGATAATGAACTCTGTATATGTCGCACAACCTGGGTCACACGTGCGCACTGACCCAAGCCCTGTGTAGGACAGCGCACAGATCCATTGCCTGGGACTGTGGAACCAGAGCCTGACTCAGCCCTTGCAGCAGCACAGCTGGGATCCTCCCATACACAATACTTCATATCCTCTTCCATGCAGATCACCTAGTACCTTGTTGCTCAAGAGGACATTTTTCACCTTTTACTACAATACTAATGAGAAGCCCGAAGCTAATTTCTAAAGCTACCTACCTGCATTGCCACTTTTTTTTTTCTTTAACATAACCTTCAGCCAGCCAAATAAAAATTCTTGGAAGTGTAAAGAATTAGTGCAGTGGCACAGCAATAGCTCATTAAGAGTGAGAGCAAGCATTGGGAAAGATCTTACCAACATCCAGAAGGCAGTAAGTTGCCGGTTTCCTGCAGAAAAGCCCGGATGCCACCTGCGATACATCCAGCATGAGTTCCTCAGGGGCTGCCCCAAAGGTCACCTGCAGCCTGCAAAGCACCACGCAGCTCCCGGCTCCCACAAGCACATTTGCCTGTGGAACGGGCAGCCTGGCAAGTAGCCAAGGAACCCAGCAAAGGGTTCCCCAAAGGGCGGCCAGGCTGAGAGCAAACGTGGCAGGAGCACCCACCACCAAAGTTACAGGGCTGCCTGAGGGCGGCTTTGCAGTCTCCTGAGCCTGAACTGCATAGTGTCCTGCCTGCTGGCTGTGCTGAGTCTGCTGGTGACTCAGGAATACCGCCTTGGATACTAACCACTGAACGACAAAAACACATGGACTTGTCAGCTACAGTGCTTCGTCAAGCTTGGCTGCAATCAACCCAGAGACAGAAGCACCTGTTGAGGAGCCATGAGTACCAGGGGCAGTCCAGCACCTCTGGTAGAGACTCTTCCTTCGCCTAGGGTGGGTACTAAAGCTCCACAGCATTTCCTCCACACAGCACAGGAGCTCCTGGCACTGCCATCCGCACAAATGGCTCCTCTCCCCTGCCACTCGTACCAGCCTCTTGTCCTCCTCCTTCTTGGAGGCCAGACACCTCTATTTTTCAAGTGTGTGTATATATATGTGTGTGTGTATATATATACATATATGTGCTACATTATTTTTCAGAGAACTAAATGGTGATATACCTGACAGATAAACAAGGGCTTGCCAAGACCAATATTGGACAAAAGCAGTTAACTAAGTATGTCAGTCTCAGATGAACACCAATATCCAATTGTCAAATATCCTGTAGAGAAAAATCTTTTAATAGGCTGTAGTAGAATAATCTGCTTCCAGAAGAGATTTTTCTGATTCCCCAAAGTTAAACACCATGTATGCTTCAAAGGTTGAGATTTCACATTTCCGGAGTCTTAAAATACTTCCGGTATTACAATTCTGCCTATACTTTTTCTTTAGAAAAAGAAAGCAAAGAATGAAACTTAGGTTATCCCAAGAAGCACTTGGTTTCTGTGAAAAATCATGACAACAAATAGCATAGGTAAATAAAGAAGTCTTGTTCAGCATGATATTTGGAATATCATAGAATACCAGCTTGGAAGGGACCTCAAGGATCATCTGGTCCAACCTTTCTAGGCAAGAGCACAGTCTAGATGAGATGGCCCAGCACCCTGTCCAGCTGAGTCTTAAACGTGCTCAGCGTAGCGGAGTCAACCACTTCCCTAGGGAGATTATTCCAATAATCGACTGTTCTCATTGTAAAAAATTTTCCTCTCGTGTCCAGTCGGAATCTCCCTGGGAGTAACTTGTACCCATTACCCCTTGTCCTCGCCATGTGACTCTTTGTAAAAAGGGAGTTACCATCTCCTTTGTAGCTGCCCTTAAAGTACTGGTTCGTTCCATGCATATATGTATTCAGCGATACATTATGACTGGAAATGGGTGTACCACCAGAGCGCCACCTCTTTTCTCTTCTCTGACCAGCAGCTTAATATACACCTCCCTAAAAGGTACCTACAGCACAAGGTAGAGCTAGTATTTGCAATCAGAAGTTTCACTTACATTAGAGGTAGATATAGTACAGGGGTTTTGTTTGTTTGTTTTTGTTTAAATGTATGCATTTTTGGCAAAAGTTATGAGCCTTTTGAATTAGGAAAATTAAGCTAAAAGGATCCAGACTAAATAGGAAAGACAACTACCAGCAATCCAAGAGCTGTTAAAAACTTCTAATTCAGTGCCTGTAAGCTTTACTTATTTCTCTGCTATCCCATCTATTTGCACTTTAGACTGAACTTAATTTCTACTTTCCCACACTGACTCTGCTTTCCCATTTATAAATGCTAGTCTGACCCAAACCTACTTTGGAAACAATTTTTTCCTCCCCCCCCCCAACTTCCTAAACTTGTAAGCATTTCTTTAACACAGATGCTCCAGTTTGCCAAGTGTCAGAAGCAGCTCCTTTTCAGACTGCTCTCTCTCAGAGTCTCTAGTAAGTTGAAGGAGAGGCAAGGGTGCAGCTGTTTCCAAGCTACTTGTAATGGAGCCTTCGAGAAGATCATCAGTGCTCTTCTATCTCACTAGTTCCAGCATGGGTTTGCTCATATGTGGACTGGCACCCATTACCTTTATTCAAATCATCAGCAAATACAACCCAGCACACTAGTAGTTGGTTGTGACAGGGCAGTGAGAGAAGATACCAGCCCAAGCTGTCACTTGGAGCAGGCGGAAGGGACACACCAAACAGGACACGCCCGCAGTGCATTAAGGGCAGACATCCTGTACTGTATGGGAATATCGTACATTGAACACTGAGGCAATTTCCCCTCAAAGTACTGCTCAGTTGTGGTGGTGGTGGGAGAGGGAAGAACCAGGTACCCCTGTATGCACTACTGCACCAGGGGGAACACAAGAGGAAACTGGAAGAAGAGCTCTGATCCTGAGTCAAGGTCATGGCTGGAAAGATGAGTCTGATAGGTAAAGATCACACTGGAGGAAAATCTAACATGCATTTGACTTCCTGAGCAAGCACGGATTAATTATATTGCATGAATTCAGTCAGACCAAATATATCATGCATGCGTAGCTCAGTCACAGAGGAGCTCAAGGAGTGGTGACTTGACACTGAATTGGAATGTGATGAGAAAGATTGAGGGAGGGAGGACTTATTTATTGTAAAACCAGAAGAGCAAACTCCCTAAATTCACAGAAGGCTGCATGTATCTTTGATATTTAGCTGTTCTGCTAGTCAGAATGATCCTGCAGAAATATTAAAACCCAAACAATTTAGGAACAGCAAAAAAAGTAAATAGGTAGGGTGGAAACAAATAACCACACTATGTAAGAATTCACTAATAAAATGCCATTTTAATAACTTTTTTTTTTTACAAGGAATCCAGCTATACACTATAGAAAAATAAACACCAAAGAGACTCTTTGCAACTTACAATATAGTGATGCAGGCATACTTCAGATGTTAACTTACTAGTAATTTCACATGAGAATGTAAAACATTGTTCTTAGTGAAAAGTAATTTCCTCTTAAAGTACTAAAACATAATAAAAAGAGTCATATAAAAAGCTGATGCAAAAGCACTGCCCTTTATTCAGTTGCACAAGAGATCACAAGTGCCTCCATTCAGTATGGACCAACTCTGAAGGAAGCAATAACTCTGGGGGGGTTCGCAGTACAGATTTCAGAAGCGGTCTCATCACTTTCTCATGTTTCTCTGGCGAGGTGGGCCTGGAACTTGTCCTAAATTTAAATAAAACAAATGAATATTAGAAAACTGCTTGTGTTATGAAGCAACAGGGTGCAGTTAGAAGCATGTAATTTCCTCAATGTGCTTCATAGGAGCTACACTGAAAGCAATTACCATTTTCATGAGTCACCTAGGAACAATACAAAACAAGATTTGAAAGCTCACACGTCTGCCAAAGCGAGGGTTCACACACTAAGACCAGTGCTCAATCGCAGGCCTACTTTACACATAGCAACAGGGGTGCTCAGTTCAACTCTATCCCTCCTGTGATGATTCAATACACATTCTGTTGCTGGACAAGGTCTTGTCACTGAGTAGATGTTTTAAAGTTCATTAGAAACTAGGAAATAATTTTGCTCACAGCACTGTTCTAAAGGTTGCAACATCAGTCTGTAATTGCTGACATCATCATTCTGGTAACATGGAAATTAGAAAAACTTTTCACGAAATTGCTATTAATGGTGTCCCAGTTGTGGAAGACTTATTCCACACTTCGCATAAAGCAAAATACCTTATTTCTATGAAATGCTGTCAGGTTTCAATTCTAAACTTTGTTTATCTATCTGTATCTGCAATTGCAGTATTTGGGGAAAACAACCCAAAAAATCACAAAGTCACGGTATTAAGGTTTCTAGGTAAAATCCTGCTGAGAACACTGTCAAAGTTCCCATACAGAAGTGTCACTGTAGCTGTTGACTTTAGTGATATTAGCAAGACTAGGATTTGTAAGCAAAGCTAGCCTTTTTTGTTTGTTTGTTTTTAAAACATTTTTTTTAATTAGATCAACTCAGAGTACCAGAAAAACAGACAATGTTTTAGACTTTCCCCAGAGCTGTTGTCCAGCTATACCAGGCTCCTGCGAACGTTGACAAAGCCAAGATTCCTCTCTTTCTAGAGAAACACGTAATTTAAAAGCTTGATTTTTTAAAGTCAACACTAAAAATGTGTTAGGAATGCAACATGTAATCATAAAAAATTTGCCTCAGAAGTTAACTTAAGTTAACTTAAGTTAATCATTATTTTTCCAAAAGCAATGAAGTCAGTAGTCGCAATGAATAATGCATTTTATAAACTGTGGGGAAACTGAAAGAGAACAATACAGCATCTCTACAACATAGATTAAATGTTCAAACCGGGTATGGCTGAGAAGCCAGTGCGGTAGATGCGATTTGAACGAGCATCTGCAATGACTGCAGGGCCAAGAGTCACTATTTAATGCTGTGATCAGTGGTTGAATCCCCACTCCTTCTCCCACAAAAATCACCACAGTGATGATCTGCTGACCATAAAGACTGGAGGAATGGCCAGCAGTAAAAGTACTGGTGACTGGCAGAGATTTTGTGGAGATGGTCAAATATTTTTCTCATCTCAGTACAACCAATATAAAGCCACACATCTTTGGGCAAAGGCTGAAGGACAATTACAGGAGGTAAGTCTGCCTAGGAAACAGCAGTTGACAACAGTTATGCTTAGTGAGAGAAATATGTAAGATGTGTATGTGCAATGTGTGAAGGAGTCCACATGGCCCTCTCATAGCGCTACAGCCAAGTATCTACCTGGTAATCTTTCTAGTTTTTGGCTGAAATTATGGGGAACCAAGGGTGGTGGTTGGTGGAAGGAGTAATCAGTGCTTGCCTAGAGATCAGGGACCATAGTGACCCAAAAATATCCTGGTTGTGGGGATAAGCAGCCAGAAGTAACATGGGGAAGGAACCAGCAATAGCAGATGAAAGGGATAAATAAAGGCTGGATGAAAACATGAATGGCATTATCTGACCTGGTGGCCTGTATTAGCTTAGACCAGGAAACTAGCAACATAAACCTGGATGGGTGAAGTAAACTTTGGGAAGATGCTCCAAAGACCCTGGAGAAATAGCTGTCAGCAGGCTCCTCAGGAGCCCCTACACAGGAGGCAGCACTAGAGCTTTGTGCTTCTCCCTGGGCCTGGGATGAAGCTATGTGTTATACTCCAATGTGGACTGTGGTCATCATGATCCCATCCCTATCAGTGATTTGAGCTAACATGGGTGCCCTTCCTCAGTCACCTGCTGGGATTGGTGTGCAGGAGCATGACTTCCCATAGCGTAGCCATGGCATGGGCTGTGCGAGCAGGCTCTGTGTGCATGTACGTAGGTATTGTAAATATTATGTTGCTGTTTAATTTCTGTTACTGCTCTGTGGTGGTGAAGGCAGGTGAAGGCCTTGCAACATGACGGTTACATGTATAAACAAGGAACAAGTTATTTTTGTATTTGGTCCAACACAAATGGCACTGCAGCCAGAGGTCCAGCTCTGTTGTTCACAATACAGAGATACTAATACACTTGAGAAGGTTTAGACATGAGTCTCAAAAATAATAAAACATTGGAAAACACATCTAATCATATCTTGATAGGAGATGATTTGAGGATGACGTGATGACAGTTTATAAGTTCTTTCTTGGGACACAGAATTTCTGTGATATAACTAAGATGTAACAAAAGTGAGTAACTAGAAGATTAAACTAAGTAAGTTCAATCTAGAAATCAGGTGGAAGTGTTTTAAATAGAAAAGATAAGTGCCACTACAATAATTTGTGTGCTTTTCAATCAATTTTAGAACTAGATAGCTGTTTTTACCAGCCTCCAATTCTTTTAATCTGCCGTGGAACATAAGAAAGCAATAAATGAGGGAACTATTATAGTTTGTGCTGCAGAGATAGCCCTGTTCAGGTATTACAGTGGTTCTCTGACTTTAAAGCAAATTAACTCTATACACAACTTCATTTAAACTGCAACACTTGATTATTTAGACTTGATGACGGGCGGGGGAGGGGGGTGCAAAATCACATGAAATTATTCAGCGTTATCTCTGAAGAATTTCACTAGGAACTTATTTTGAGAAATGCCACGCTTGGACTAGTTTTAGATATGATTCACAAAAAGGTTTCATTTCAGAGACTGACTTAATTTTTTCTCCTTCCCCCCACCCCCAAGAATTATAGTTATTCCATAAAATGATGCTCTTTCCATGCTTTAAGTGTTATAGGCAATATGTAGGAAGAACCTTGCAAAAAGCAGCCCCGACTGCTGGCAGATGTGAGGGGTAACAAGGTGGTTCTTACCTGGTTGCACACCCCCTAGTCTTTGCTGGATAACCTCTAAGCGATGGATGTATTCCGTTAGCGATCGTTCAGGATCCTGAGTAGGCACAAGTGACTTTTCTGAAGCTGAACTTGTGGATGTATGCAATCTTAAAAGGAAAACAAATTATTTTCTTCTTCTCATGCTATACTCTCAAATAAATATAATAAAGTTACATTCATAGAGGCAGTATTTCAGTGCAAAGCAAATTAGGACAACAGTAAACACCACTACCACCAAAAAAATTACATACAAAACAATATAGACTGGGCACCTTTGCATACAGGAGACAGAAAAGAAAGGATGGATACTCCAGAAAAGCTGGAGTATCTATGAATCTCTCTCTACTGATATGCAACAGAAAGTCCCTCAGGTAAGAAAGCTGCAGTCAGAGGCAAGTCCAAATGGCCAAGTGAGAAAAGACCCACTTCTGCAGAGAAGGACTGAAGAGGAACATGCTGCATCCAGGTATGTACTCTCCTGTTCAGCAGCCAAAAAAATTACATACAAAACAATATAGACTGGGCACCTTTGCATACAGGAGACAGAAAAGAAAGGATGGATACTCCAGAAAAGCTGGAGTATCTATGAATCTCTCTCTACTGATATGCAACAGAAAGTCCCTCAGGTAAGAAAGCTGCAGTCAGAGGCAAGTCCAAATGGCCAAGTGAGAAAAGACCCACTTCTGCAGAGAAGGACTGAAGAGGAACATGCTGCATCCAGGTATGTACTCTCCTGTTGAGCAGGTAAAATACTATCTTGAAGGACAAGGTTGAAAAGGAGACCCTTTAGATGGTACTCTGTGTTTAACTTCTGGTCATTAACAATAAATTTCAAATATTAGCAGAAGTATACATTGGAGGGGACGCTGTGCAAACACATTCCTATTTGGAATTAGCATTTATTCCTTCCCCCTGCACCTTTCGAATAGTGGAAGGTAGTTCCTATCCATCCCTCCCTTCTGTACAGCTTTGCCAGGAAACAAAAGCAGCAACAGGCATCGTTTAACCTATCTTGGATGCAAGTTAGACTTGAACTACCACTAACCCAGTCACACTGAGTCAGGGCCTACTATTATTAATATACTTGTTCCATACAATACAGATAACTTTTCTTGATAGGTAAGCTGCCAGCTACTGTTTCTGGCTGTCAGACCCAGATATGTGCCACAACAGAGGAACAGGGCAGGGTACAATTAAGTCTTTTGGGAAATGCAGCAAAACTCTCCAAAATGTTTTGCTAAATTCTGTGCAAACCAGAACACTACCTGTCCTTTGTGAAAAGCACTGTCCTGCCCCCCAAATCAGTCAGCAATATTAAAAAAACTAAAATAATTTGGAGCATTTGCTGGTTTTGCATACCTCTAGATCACCACAGCTACTTCATTGCTACTCTTTTTTTCTTTATAAAGAAAATTCTTGCCTGCTGGTTGAAGTTTCTAAATGTAGCAAGGAGGTTAAGAAACAAACAACACCTTCCAAGCTGATGGGACTGACAACAGCTACCTCTCATGTCAACTCCTGCAAATCATTACTTCAAGGAGGAAGCCACATACGAGAAGCAGCTTGGGAGAGAAGACGCTACACCCAGTAGTGCACCATGCAATACCCGAGGTTACTTTGGGTCCCAGGAGGGCCTGGGAGTGGGAAGGCCTGTAATGACTGAAGGCCACCTTCCTACCCCACTCAAGCACAGAGTTTGCAGTGGCATTTTCTTAGCAGCACCGTGCAGAATGTCAGCTGTGACATCCAACCCAGCAAACAGTAGCTGGGGTTGTATTGCTGTGCAGAACTGGCCATAATTAATGAAAAACTGCAACAGTACACACCCCACAAGTTCTCCACCTCCCATTCTGTGTGCATGCACAAAGTCTGAAGGCAGCTAATACTAATGCAATGCTGTCATATAGTAGGGGAGCTGCTTTCACAGGACGCTCAGAAATTCATCTCCAACTTTGACGGCAAAGGCAACAAGAATTACCCCTCAAAGAAGGCTAACAGACATAGCCATTGTAAATCCCGTAGCCTGTCCAAATTAAATTGAGGTACACCATTAGGAATGCTCTCAGTCCAAGAACATCAGACATGCTTAAAGCAAGCAAGAAGTTTTCTTCTCCTATAGCAACTTGAAAGAAATAAAACATTTACCAGATCTAAGAAAATGAATTCCTCTTCATGTTCAAGTACCTCCTCCAATAGGTGGTTACATTTTTATGAAAGACTGTCGATCGGGGTGATTAAACATATGCAGAGATTGCAGACTGACCTGTTGTGTGAGCAGTGAGAGGATCTGGGGGAGTGGCTCACAAATCTTGCAGAGCTGGTTCTGTGGCACAGCCCAGCGTCCCGTGTGGGGGGAGAACCAAGATGAACAGCTGGGGGCTGCTGCTTTTTCAGAATTTCTGTCTGAGCACCAGAGGCTGTGTTAAGTATAAAACAGTTAAAAGATATGCACCAGGAACCATTCAAAACAGGCTATCATAAACCTAACCAATAAACCCCACAAGAATTACAGCAGAGTACAATTGTGTTTGGTTTAAATGCAGCTAAAATACACTTTCTATAGCTAACTGCTTTTTTTAGTTTGGGGTTTTTTTTGTTTGTTTTAACCAGATTTAACAGAAGTTTGACATTTTAATGTCAAACAACTGCTTCCTGCAAATGGAGAAGTTGCACTGTTTTCTTTCTTCAGACTTGCTTTTTCCTCAGCTGTTGCTATATCCACATGGGATGTTCCAATGGTTGATATGAGCAAAATATTTTTTCAAGCAATTTTAATTTTTGTTGTTTGCTCTAACTATATGTTACTGTTGACTTACACTCTCCGACTTCAGAGACAGCAGAGAAAGGAAGAGATTTTTTTGTTTCGTTTGGTGAAGGTCGGGGTGGGGGGCAGATAAGGGTGGGGTGTTGTTTTGTTTTCATTAAAAAAGAAAAACCCCTTCAGGTAAGTCCTTTAAATCACAAAAAGAAATCAAATATTTTTTTATAAGGCTGCCAAGATGCTATTCTGTAATGAGGTAGAAAGTTCAGCATGCATTTCAGGATTCAAGTTTCATAGGACCCACACCACAGTGATTTTATGTAGGAAGTTGGGTTGTTTTGCTGGAAATACTTATTTAAAAAAACAAAAAACAAAAACAAACTTAGAGACAGTAAAAATTATGTAGTTGTAACAGGTAATGAAAAATGCACTTCCATCTGAATTTTGTTTAGTGTTGAAAAGCCACAAGTAATGGAATATTACATAAAATGGGACGGTTCCACAATATTGGGTACTGCATTAAGATGTTTGTTCAAATTCTTACAAACACATCCATAAGTAACTCAAAGGAACACAGTCCATTCTGAACTGCATCAGACCATCTATCCATCTTTGATAGTACTTAATAATATCTGCATCAGATTAAGTATCTTCTGAACCATTGGAACCACTTAAAACCCTTTTTCACCTCTGGTAACACTAGCAGGTACACCACTTCTAAAGACTTATTTTGATGCCACATTTACCCATTTTAATACTATTACAGCTGTATTTGTCCTTGCCTTATTAATAACTCATGGCACTAATTTCCATTACAGGTAGCTTCAACCTGTACAAAACAACTCTCTGATGAGTTTTATGAACATAGGACTCAGTTTCGCAACTTGAGCAGTTGCAATAAAGGGAGAAGAGGAGGAGCTCACCATTGTTGTAAATTATGAATTCTGAAAGTTTTCAATTGTAATTTCTTACAGTGCCCTTTGTAAACTCATAACCATTGTGTTCAGCAAATGGATAAACACAGTTGTGTTAACATATAAACAGATTTTCACACTTCTGTGGGTATTTTTTTGGTTTTGTTTTTAAATGAAACACATAACTGAAGAGAAATTATGATTAAAACTATGTACTTGTCCAAAACGCTTACCTGTATTGCTTCCTATACTGTGAGAAATGGTTTCACCCTGTGCGCTCTTCCTGCTAACTTTGTTCCACTTTTTCACCAGAAACTTTAACCTTAGCAACAAGTAAATTTGTACAATCATTAAAAATAAGCAAAAATACACTGAATTTTAATACTAAACTCTTTGTTGGCATGAAACCTATTAAACAACATAAGTAACAATCCTTGCTGGAGTGGAGGAGAATTCTTCAACGTCAGTCTTTAGAATGGAGGCTTATTCCATTTTACTCTGCAATTATTCTCTAACTGTTAGAAAGGTTTGCTCGTTTTAGCCCTGCTCCTCCATTCTGTCCCTGATCTCCAGAGAGTTCTGTGGCAGCTCTTCGTGCCTCAGAGGAGTAGTTTGGAAATCACTGTTCCTACATCCTTTGATACTGCTATCATTATGGCATCCATGTCAAAAACAACAGCCTAAAGACATTCTGTGCCATCTCCTGAAAGTCTGAAACTTGTTAGTAATCATTTTTACTAGAGAAGGAAATTGCTCAGAAGTAACCACATTCAAAGCTATCTTTTTCATTAAATGGACTCAAAAGCCATTATGAGATGGCATGTTGTCCCAAGTGCAGCTAACAAAATCCATTTGATAGTAAGTGACAGAGCACGATAGAATCATACCCGATGAAACACAGGCTACTGAATTCAGGAGAGAAAAACCATCACTGATGAGATGATCACATTCTGATACAAGACAGACTATCCAGTGAGTCCAAATAGATAAGACTCAGACCTGAAAGGACATCAGTTTGTCATTGTTGTGCACTGATTCTCTGATATTGTTGTGCATGGATTCTGATATTGCAGCTGGGTATCTCTCAAGACAGAAGCAGCTCTTTATAAATCTTTACTTTAGCACGCACCCAACTTAGCGCTGACTCTGAAACAGCAGTTTGGCCAAAGTTATAGCTGACAACTCATGTCTGAACTAGTTTTGCAGACAGCTTTTGCTTAATAGTAATGTAGGATAAACCATGGGAACTATTTTTAAAACTTCCAAGAAAACACCATGTGTGAGAGACAGCGAGTGTTTTGGCTTTACCTTGATACTGCGATGATTGCCCTGACTGCACATCTGAACTTGGTAAAAGGACGGGAACGTGATCCAGAAAGCTGCAGGTCTGCAGGTGAGGGGTAGATTCCCATACGTGCTATTAGAGAGAGGGTGGCTTGCTCACAGTCCTGAAATCCACCAAGAAGCAGCAAGAGGTATTTCTTCTGATAAACTAGAGCCTTTCTAAAGCTCTCTGCTCTAAGGTACTTCCTATATAATCTCTGCAACTGGAGAAATAAAAAAAGGAAAAAAAAAATCCAATCTGTTAAGATTTAGCTACAGAAAGCTCAGAAAAGTTGGTCCCTTTTTCCAGCAGTATCTCCCACAACTTGCTGTGCATGGGTATCTAAACCTATTTTGCATTACAAAATTGTAGAAAGCTATTTAATAATTATGAAGTATGGAAGCAGTGTACGTTTATCTCTAAAATGAAATTTTGAGTGAGAATTTGTATAACAGACTCTGTGACTTAGCCAGTTTTGGCGCACAGTAGCGGTATTACACTCTGGCAGTTTGGACACCATACATGGAGGCTTGTACCAAGTCTACTGAATTTCTGTATGTCTATGAAGTCTTGGCTAGGCTAGAAAATTTTGGCATGGCTACTGGTTGGTGTGCAAAAAAACCAGCCACAAACAAGTTGTCTTCATGTCAAACATCCATACTGCAGACATAAGGGCAGCTGGAACAATTCTGTACATAGCTAAAAAGCGCCCAAGTTTGGAGTGTCAGACTGCCTTAAATCTCCTGAATGTTTCAAAGCAAAATTGTCATACTTGAAACTCTAAAACAGTTTAACTCTTTAACAAAGAAAATAACATCTGCTTTAAATAAATATTACCTAGTGAGCATGTTGGGATAAGTGCCCATCTGAGTTGATTACAATCAAATGTGTCAGAGGAATAAAAAGTATTTAAGATTAGGAGGAAAAATTAAAAATAATGGCTGTTTGATATTTTCATGCTTAGACAAGAAATCTAAATCTCCCTCTCATTTAAGAGTAGAAAGAGATTAACTAGCTAGTTAGTTTTGGTGCAAGTTCCTGTCTAACACCAAGAAAGTTAGAAAGGAACTTTTCTGACATGGGACATCTGGGGAAAGCGTTCCTAATTTAATATGCAGTTTATGAAATTGTTCATCTATAAAATCACCTTCTAAAGTAGCAACTGAAAAAGATTACAGCAATAAGTGTAAGTTAAATACCATAATCTGACAGATACTTATATCTCCAGAAAGCTGAGCTGTACACTTCCTGGCTCCTCTGCAACAGGAAGTTTTATCATATTTATTTAAAAAAAAAAAAAAAAAAAAAAAAAATTACCCGTTCTACATGTGGCATTAATCCCTTAGGGAATGCCCAAGAACAATACTACCAAGGACTGAAATCTCCAGAGGTTTTTATGATCCTGAGTTGGTAACAGTCCTCACACAGCAAATCTGTACAATGGGCAAGATAGCGAAAGCAAACCAAGAGCCAAAGGTTTAAATGACATGCTAATGGCTACAGCACTGCTTGCTCATCAAGCTCCAGACAGCCCATTTGCAGGCCATCACAATCATTTTACCTTGGGACTGGAAGTTTCTACCACTGGTTTGTTTTCAATTTCAGCAGTTGCTTTAGCCAGTTCAGATTCAGCCTGTTTCAGTGCATTCTGCAAAATGTTTCTCTCTCGCTGCCAAGCGTCTCTTTCCAGTTCTTGAACAGAGTCAGTATCCAGCGATCTGATCTAAAAAAGAAACACAAAGGAAGTGAGACATGATGGTTTTCTGCACATTACTTCCACAGTCAAACATCTCAAACTGAATAATAAACTAACTTTGTGGACAAACTAAAACATTAAAAAAAAAAAAGAGCCTGAAAATCAGCAATGACATTCAGGTGTTAAATGGTAGGATGGGCAACTGAAACACACAAGCAGCCCTTCTTAAGGGTGTTGGTTGATGAGAAACTCAACTCAACATAACCTGGCAATGGGCACTTGCAGCCCAGAAAGCCAACCGTATCCTGGGCTGCATCAAAAGAAGCGTGGTCGAGGGATGTGATTCTGCCCCTCTACTCCTCTCTGGTGAGACCCCACCTGTAGTACTGCGTTCAGCTCTGGGGCCCCCAACATAAGAAGGACATGGACCTGTTGGAGAGAGTCCGGAGGAGGGCCACAAAGATGATCAGAGGGCTGGAGCACCTCTCCTATGAGGACAGGCTGAGAGAGATTGTTCAGCCTGGAGAAGAGAAGGCTCCGGGGAGACCGTATAGCAGCCTTCCAGTACCTGAAGTGGGCCTACAAGAAAGCTGGAGAGGGACTTTTTACAAGGGCACATAGTGATAGGACAAGGGGCGATGGCTTTAAACTGAAAGAGGGTAGATTTAGATTGGATATAAGGAAGAAATTCTTCACTACAAGTGTGGTAAGGCATTGGAACAGGTTGCTCAGACAAGTTCTAAATGCTTCATCCCTGGAAGTGTTCAAGGCCAGGCTGGATGTTTCTTTGAGCAACCTGGTCTAGTAGAAGGTGTCTCTGTCCATGGCAGGGGGGTTGGAACTAGATAATCTTTAAGGTCCCTTCCAACCCAAACCATTCTATGATTCTATCAAATCCATTGTTAATCAAGCTACCCCTTCTCTACAGATCTGTCTGAGCAGCTTTACAGGAATCCTGCTCCCTTTAATAACAGAGAGTCTCCCAAACACTTGGATATGGAAACAAATCTTCTGGCTTACTTCCACATCCACAGGCAGCACAGAAACTGTCAATAAATATGTCTGTGTATATGGGTGCACAAAAACATGTTGTAAATCATAGAATCATTAAGGTTGGAAAAGACCCCTGAGATCATCGAGTCCAACTGTTAACGTAAGTGCCAGGTCCACCTCTAAACCATGTCCTTAAGCACCACATCCACATGTGAAGCATCTATGGAAGTAAACTCTGAAAAACCACATTCAATTTTGAGAAATTCAGTTTTGCGGTAAGTCATCTCTTGTAGGAATAAAATCCACAGCTCCAGGTCCAATTCTTTGTGAAAGTTCTGCCTTTATAACCCTCTTTGTACCAACTATCACTTTAATGGTCAAACAGTTACATCGGTGCGTGATGCAGCAGACCACAGAGAAACAAAAGATATTTTTTGAGGCAGTTAATGTTTTATCCCTTGAAATAAAATCTGTACATTAGAGGAGCCAGTACACACAACTGACCCCAATTTCTCTTAGCAACTTATTTTAGTAAAACGTTATTAGGAGTTTGAAATTTTTCAGGAGTAATTTCTTATGAATACCTTACTACACTAACACGTGCCATTTAAATTTGTCTTCTATGAAAAGCACAACTTGTCAAGTAAAAAATCTTATATAATAAAGTTTAATTTTAATTTTTAATTTTAAACCCCAGCCATCTACGTCTTTTTACTGCCTTCAAGAATCTAACACTGCCTTCAGTGTTGTTTTGAAATTAAGTATTTATTTCTGTCCAAGTTAAAATCTTGTCCTGTACTTATTATCTAATCACAGATGTTCTATACAATTTCAGGTTTTTACACTGAAGTTAAATAAACTAAAGCACACATTTCC